AATTAATATCATATTCACTTATCCTGTCAACCGCTGTTTCAAAACCCAGCATCGTCAATCGCAGTTTATACAAGTTTCCACAAGTCACAACATGAAATCCGCGCGCACTACTAAATTGTTGATTGAGTGGAGACTTGTTCATAGATCGGCCATTGGGACTTTTTTACCGCATCACAATCAAACATACGTGGCGAAATAATTTAGAAACGACGAATTTTAAGTACCTAATATTGATTCCAAATGTATTTAAAATTACTATTATAACGTCAACCTGCCTACAGAAATATAAATCTCCCGATGGCCAATATACTGTTGAATACATTACGTTATTAAGATAAAATAATGGGCATATAATTAGTAATTACATGTAGGTATTTTGCTTATTTATTTATTATGTTTTATTCTTATAGATGCAAAATGGCAGCGACAAAAAGAAACTTTTCCTAAGATTACGTTAAGTTTGGATTTACCTTCATAGAAAAAGACGAGTTACAATTGCCTCAGTGTGTGATATGTATGAAAGTTTTAAGTAATGATAGCATGAGGCAAAATCTGGCCCAGACTGGATAAATCGGGAATTTATCACACAGGTGTATCGCAACAACTCAAAGCTTCATTTGAAATAGCTTTTATGATAGCAAAGCAAAAGAAACCTCATACTATCAGTGAAGAATTAATAAAACCATGTGTCCTAAAAGCCACGCAGATAATTTTAGCAGTTGATGCAGAGCTAAAATGTCTATTCCTCTTTCGAATAACACAGTCTAGCGTAGAATCGATGACATTGCAGCAGACAGCCATTAGTTGCGATGAATCCACCGACATCGTTAATTGAGCACAGTTAATAGTTTATGTTCGTTACATTGGCGGAGATATCATTCAAGAAGAGATTTTGTACTCCCAATCTTTGACAGCATCTGAAGATATATTTAATTCAATATCGAATTTTGTTGAAAAAAATGACTTGGGTTGGAAGAAACTCATTGGACTTTGCACAGATGGCGCACCTGCAATGATAGGTGTACGACCGGGCTTAGCTAAAAAGCTCAAGGGAAAAAATCCCGGTTAGTACACATTGTGTTATTCATCAGTAAGCTTTGGCTTCCAAAACGTTGCCACAGAAATTACGCCAGACTTTGGACTCGGCTTGGAAGGATTGTAAACTACATCAAGAACAGCGCTTTGAACAGTCGGTTATTTACTTGACCTAGCGAGGATCTCGATTCTGATTAAAAAGTTCTTATGTTCCATACAGAAGTATGCTGGCTGTCCAAAGGCCACATGTTGGCTCGCCTTTATGGCTTGAAAGAAGAGGTAATTGTTTTTCTTGAGTTCAAAGAAAAACACGATTTCTTGACAATGTTTAGAGATTTCAATGGAGGTTGGCTTGTTTAACAGACATATTTGACCTCTTGAATGAGCTAAACTTGAGACTTCAGGGTAGAAACAACACTATAATAAGCAAATATGATTATATTCAGGGGTTCATATCAAAGCTTCAACTTTTGAATCAAAAAGTGTCTTCTGAAAATGTTATATCTTTTTCTCGGCTGTTCGAAGCAACTAAAAATAACATACTGGTCGCAAATTCAAAAGCCGACGTAAAAACTCATTTGCAAGCGCTGGAAGACGAATTCCGCCGTTACTGTCGAGACATCAATTTAGAGACACCAATATGGCACATGACCAGAAATCCATTTATTGTTGATGTGTCACCATTACCAGAACAAGTTCAGGAAAGATTTCTAGAAATGAAGGCTGATTCGTCCATGAAAGATGACTTCCATCTTTTAACATTGGAGCAATTCTGGATCAAAAGATTGCCTGTTAATTCGACACTTGTCTCCCTTGCTTTACGAGTACTAGTTCCTTTTTCTTCGACTTACTTAAGTGAGACAGGCTTTTCAGCTCTAGTTTTAATTAAAACTAAACAGCGAAATCGTCTTGATGTCGATAGCGACCTGATGATAGCTCTGGCAAAGACAGAACCTAGAATCAACCAACTGGTACAGAACATGCAGTCTCAAGTGTCTCATTAGTACCTACTGTTATTTTGTTCAAGTGTATCGATAAAAAACATTTATTAGTTTATTTAAACTTTTAAACTTTCTTTATTAGAATTAAAATAAATACCTATATAATGTGCGTTTTTTGTATTTATTGATAAAGTAAAGGGGGACATGAAAATATAATTTATAGTCCGGGGCCTCAACAAAAAAAAAGGTTGGAAAACTCTGGCTTAGGGTGTTCGTATTGATTTAAATTTGTTTGATGTTTTGTTTTACTTCAAGCATAATACTGCGAATAAACAAATATTGCATTATGCCATACAATCTAGGTGGGCAAAGTACATGTATCTGTTACGTAGTAAGCTCTAATGCTGTGTTGTCTGGTGTCTTCTACTCTATATATAAATGAGATTGTCTGCCCAAATCTGTCAGCATCACGTCTCAACCACAATTTGAGACGTAAAGAATTGTACATACACTAATTGGTACCCGAGGAAGGTTATATATATGCGCGAAATCATCACGGCAAATACCAAAATCTTTACCGTCAGCATCAAGCCGACATCAGCGTAGTCAGCCATCGCCGCACTCCACCTGTGACCGTCAAGCGATACAGATGTGTTATTTTGCACCAGCTGTTACCCACGACTTTGTACGCTTGAAACTGTTACTACCCTGTTTTTAATTAATGCTATGCTATGTACTTTCTATCACGTTTCGTATCTGTGATGGCATTAGTAAATTTGATTACTTTATACGTGGCGCCACATACGCATTCCATGTACAAAACCGCCGAGCAGAAAACTAGGCGTATATTAAGTCATTCGTTTAGTTTTACTAGACCTTGGTCAAGAGCAATGAAAAGACAAATGTGAGGTTAGACGGTTATGTCACACCCCTCAAAACGGCTGACAATTATTTTCGTTATATCTCTAAGGGCCGATTTCACCATATGACAAACCGTTATTCTGCACCAATAGGGTACAAGTACTAAACAGTCCCTCAAATATACCCAATCAGGCTCTCAAGATCTGTCCGTCAAATTTTTGATAACACTCAGTATATTGAGCTTGAAAAATTCGAGATTGCCATGAACTAACAAACGTCCAAACCTGCTGCCAAATTATAACATATATCTAAATACATGAAGTTGTCCTGTTTTTTCTGTACAAAAGCATTATGTTGGAATCAAAAAGTGGTCTTGTTGACAATACAGTCGAATTTTCACGATTTTATTGAATATTTTAATAGATATCACTGATATTCAGAGACATTTGACAGCTTCTGTCAAATTGCATTTCGATAAGGTATTTTCCCATTGGTCCATAATATTAATGTTGGTGAAATTGGGCCTTTAGGTCCTATTTTCATGTCATACCAGCAGTGTCACCTACTATCCCAATCTAATCTCTATATTTTTAATTAGTTTTGAATATTTAACCTGTAGACAGGATATCCTCAAAGTTGAGTATTTCCTTCAAAAAGCGTATAGAATTTGTAAAATTTTCTTCATAACGCCTTACGATGACCTAGATATTAAAGTGTGAAAAGATCTGCGATACAAGGCCGGACCTGTCTCCAGCGCGGATCAAATTATGAGGAGAGAACACAACACGCATCGGGATTCAACCCAGGGCTCGTGAAGTTGTTTTTTACGAAGCGAGTTCAAAAATCAATGAAAATAGCACGCTCTTATAGACACTTGTGATATGATGTTAATTTACGATCTTTTCAATATAGTGTCGAGGCTTCACCGGTGTACTCATACCGTTTTCCGGGTTTTCAATGTTTCATGACATACAATGAGCAAGGACACTGGCCGTTAGCAGGAACGTCGAGATGGAAAATATTGGAATCGAAAAGCGACTACTTTTAACACCATCACGATGCTTGAAATCGCTCATCCGATGAACAGTGATTACTTTCTTCAAAACTTGTTATCACTATTTCGCTGTCATTTCACCATATGTTATTTCAAGCGTAGTTGTTCCTAAAAAGGTAAGGTCCAAGTTTCAGAATATCCTGTATAGGTAGTGGATCAAACAACTAATCCGTAAGCAGTTGTCTTCACAAGATCATTCCGATTCAATAAGACTACAGGCACGAGGTCTTCTGACAGAAGCCACAAATTTGCCTGTTGGCTCTTTCTTATTGGTGGCTTCTAGTTGTATTTCCCTCTCCAATCTTATTTTCCTTCAGGTTACATCCGTATCCAGATGTGATGAGCATATGTTTTCACTTCGATGTTTCCAATGCACATCCATTTGGGCCTGATGAATCCAATAAGCAGAAATGTATGTCGCTCAGGTTATCTATCCCTCTATTTCTACTTCTGTTTCTTTATTGCAGACATGCCCACGATTGACTTTTGTTTTTTCATAGTCGATAAATGACCGAATTATCTGAATGCCTTTAAAACACGCTCCTTAGAAAAACTGAAGCAGCTGTCATATTTCAAGGCCAACTATGAAAATATTGTTTTTTTTTCTTAATAATTTAGATCTGATAATGTCAATATATGATATATTATACATTTTTGAAATCAGCATCGGAAACTCTATTCACCTGTTAAAAAATTCAATATAGTATCTTCAAGAAAAAGTAAAGTTGAGGATTGAGGGTAAGAGATGAAACGTCATACTGAAATTTTAATTATGTGAATTTGTAGAGAAGAAAAAGTGGAAATGCTAATGTGCTTTTTATTTAGGAATTCTATCTCAAATAAAAGAAAGAATCACGATTTTAGGAAAACTTAGTTACGTTATTAGCATTTAAGCGTTTTCGAGATCCCAATCAATAGTAGGAGTCCAATTTGAAATACCCGGTATAAGTGCAGTTAGTTGGTTGTTATGAAGGAATTTAGTCTTTATTTTGATATGACTAAACTGAACGGAGCCTGCTAGCACTTGTCTAGACACGTCTGGCGCTCAGATCCTCAGGTATGCAGCCTGAAAGCAAAGCAAAATCCAGTCTGAAATGAGTGTGACTCACTGGGGTCTGCGCGTCTATCATTCGCCACAGATCTTCTGTCAAAGGCGCCGAAAGCCAACCATGGACAACTTGGGCCGACCGGTATGAATACGTAACGACCTAGCGCGCCAAGCCTCGAGAAGAACCACTCTTCTTTTTGCATTATTTCACACGCCACACGGTGAAACACCCTCCCGTCTCCTACACAGTTTGTTGCACCAAAGAACAGCGTATATAAGGTTGAAATGTGTTACTGATAAAAAGATGGCGTCAAGCAGATTCACTCAGAGCTTGCCACATAATGCTGTTAGTAAAAAATGGCATCCAGTAGATAGATTCGGTACTTTCCACGCCTTCGTTCGAAAGAAACGTGATGAGTCAAGTCTATACAAAAGACGGAATCGAATCTTGACGTGATAATGTTCACTTAAGTAACGATAAATTGAAGACACCTACACAGCAAAATGTATAAAATCTCTTCTATTTCAATGGCAGATGTATGGAAAATATGTTTATTATGTTTACAAGGTGCGTAGGCTCAGGTAACCAAATAAGTTCGTGCGGTTGCTGTATATCGCACATTGCCACGGATGTTGTTGATCGATAGCGATTTTTTGTTACCTGTTGTCACTTTAGTATGAATCCTTCTTTTCTCAAGCAAATAAAAAGTTGCTGAAAATTGTTACATACCTAATTTTAATAATTGAAAATGGCGACGAATAAAACAGTAATTCGAAGTTTACTGTATGAGTACAAACTTGGTACAAAAGCTGCAGCAGCGGCGCGAAAAATATGTACCGCATTCGGAGATGATGCCGTTAGTGATCGAACAGCACAGAAGTGGTTCAAAAAATGTTCTTCGAGATATCTCAGTTTGAGCGATGAACCACGCTCGGGGAGATCACAAATCATGAACAACGAGGATCTTCGACAGGTTGTGGACGCAAATTCCAGGACAACGTGCCCAGAACTTGCAGAAATGTTCAGAGTGAGTCCTGAAACTATTCGTTTGCATCTTCATCATCTAGAAAAGACGTGGAAGTTAAGCAAATGAACTGACAAATGATAACAAATTAAGTCGTCTTACCAGTTGTTCAGCAAACATTTCACGCAACGCTAATCGGTTATTAACCTGCGACGAAAAATAGATCTTGTATTCGAATTGTAAGCATTCATATCATTGGCTGTCCATTATGAGTTTTTGGAAACCATCACTGCTAACTCGTATCCAACGAGTACAAGCAGCACTCATCCAGAAACAGCCTTCTTTGACCAATCAGAAGAAAGTTATATTCTTACAGGATAACGCCAAGCCTCATACCGCAAAAGTGACCCGAGAAAAAATTTCTTTCTTCATCTTTTTCCCTGTACCCTTACTTTAATATTGTGCTCAGTCCGCGATTTGACAGTGCAAAAGGTTAAGCGCATTTGTCAAAGCAATAGCAGTATATACCAAAATCTCACTAAGATCCATAGGATAAGTTATTAGTTTTTTGATTGGTGTGCCGCCAGATAATCCTCTTAAATCTAAATCCCTCAGACTTTAACCGAACCATTATGCCAAACCCCAATGAAACCTGTTGGTGTGGTAATAAATCAAGTGTAGTTTGGCATAATAAGAGCTGTGAAGAAAACTGTCTGAGAATAATATCATACGAAATTCAAAAAAAACCCATCTCGTCCGATAAATAATTTTTCCCGCTAACGATGCTATGATGTGGGGGAAGAAAAATAACAGTAATCAAGTTCGAGGCGTGAGCGCCAATCAAAAAACAAACATTTCCTGCGCTAACATGATGAAATCTAAAAATAAGTGCCCGACTTCTGGCATCGATTTCCCTCAAATACGGAAAATTCCCACAGCCGTGCATGAATTGAACACGCGATCGAAATAACAATCTATTCAAGGCTACTTTAAAAAATAAACTGATTCTTTTAAAGGCAGATGAATTACGAAAATTCAGACCCGTATTTATCTGCATACGTTGGCAAATCCAAAAGAATCATGTTATATTGACATAATATCGACATTTGAAAATGAATAACAACAACTGACAACATAAACCAACGAAATGATTTAAAAATTTTTGGAAAATGGCCCCCTTTACTTAGTATGCATGCTTCCGCCCTCCTTCTCATGGAATTGCGCACTCGTGGAAATATCCCTGGAGTGTCTTTTCTTCTATCAAAAGCTGCAACTATTCTTTCTCTTAATTCCTCTCTTAATGGGACTTGTGTACACTAGTGTCTTAAAATGGCCCCACAAAAAGGGATCTAAACTGTTAAGGTCTGAGGATCTTGGTGGCCATTCTTGGGGCCCACCGCGGCCAATCCAACGATTTGCATAAACAGTTTGTAAATAATTACGAACCACTACACTGAAATGCGCTGGTGCATCATCATGCATATACCACATATTGTTTCTTATTACTAACGGAACATCATCAAGCAGCAAAGGCAACTTAAAAGTGGTTGCGAATAATTTTTGCCTATACGATAACCGAAAATTGGTGTTGGAAATGGGTTTCGGTTACGGCATAGAGATTTCCTTCTGCCTACAAATGATATTGTGGAAATGCTGAATGACATTTCGAGAAAAGTTAGCTTCGTCCGTGAACGGAATCATTGATTTAAATTGCGGATTTTGTGTAATTTGTTGAAGATACCACTGACAAAAGGTCACACGCCTTGGAAAATCAGAAGTAATGCCTGTACTCTTAAAATATGGTAAGGATATAACAAAAAATCCACTAAAATTCTCCAAACAATTTGATGGCAAATATTTAAGTGTCTAGCGATCTTCCTCGTACTCGTTTCAGGATGTTCTTCGACTTCGTGCAGCACTTCTTCCTCAATTTCAGGTGTTCTCACACTTAGAGGTCTACCTTCAGATGTTCCTCTTCGGACAGAACCAGTTTCAACAAAACGACGATGAATATTAGAAAAGGTTTGACTATCTGGCAAAGCACGATCGGTATATCTCTGGTGATAAATCCGTCTGGCTTGCCCACCACTGCCGTCGGCAAGACCATATACGTAATGCATTTCAGCCATTTCTGCATTTGAATAATTCACCATTATCAACAAGATTGTAAAAACTTAATAATGAAAAAGATGTCACAGCGAACAGATTTGAATAACAGAGACTTGTCAGATGTCAAAAGCCAGTGACATATTCCAGAGCAACTAGATATTTATCGATAAATAGCATTTTTCAATTATTATATTAATTTTCTCGGACAATAGATCGGTTTTTTTTTGTACTAAAAAATGGCGCATCACAGGAAAACAATTCAAGAGAGATCATTTGTTTTAAACTGAACGGGGAATTCAAAAATAATTTTTATTTAGTAAAAAACCATTGGCGTACCATTTTTTTCTTAAAAAATATCGAAGTCAGTACCCGTACGCACGCCACTGTTAAAGCTAAAAATTATTTTTGCATTGAAAAATATGCAACTTTGTTAACTTTCACTACGTACTAAATATCAGTGAAATACCTGAAGCGGTTCTGAAAATATTAATTAATTTCCATTTTTTTCCTAAAACTTCAACAGCCCGAGTTTTTGTAAGGAAACATTTTTGCACCATAGTTTATAAAGCAAACCACCATTAATTTTTCATGTGGATTCACACCCTTAAATATTCGCATATCATTAAGGAACACCCTGTATAGCACTGTAGATACTTGAATATAACAGCTCTATATAAGTAAATGATACAGTAACCATTGTATATCTACTGAATGATGCTGCCTGCCAACATCAAAATGGCACAGCCACTCAATCATCACAAAAAGTATGGATCATGATCAAACTGAACGATATACAGAGAAATCCAATTATCACTGGCGGGGTAGTACGTACGAGAGAAAAATGCGAGAAGCATGCAATACGTATGTTAGAAAGACAATGCAAATATTTCGAAGCACGCTGATCGATCGGAGCACAGTATTGTGGCATCATCACACAGGCAAGACAAGCCTACAAATACGAAACATCTTGGTAGCATAACTTTTTTATTTTTCGAAATATTTCAAAAAAAGTTTTCAGTGCTAATGTAAGTTACTTATTCTACGATTGGAGATGTGTTTTAGGAAACTCATTTATCATCTCAAAGTTTTATTAAAATGGTGTCAGTGCCATTGTAGAAATCTTTGTATGAAATTATAAAGGCTAAGGAGGGCCAGTTAATCTCAAAGTGTGGAGCTTTTCCAGTTGGTTGTCGAATTTAGCAGAAGGAGAATTTTGCAGTAAAGTTGAAAATTGTAGCGTAGAAATGTTCAATTAAATTATGAAGTAGAACATTTCTGGTAATTCTGAAAGTTTAGATGATTCAAGCCTCATCAGAATCTCGAACAATGAAAAATAGACATATTCAGGAAGGTACACAAGTACCGTAGGTCAGATACGCACTGTAAATAAGAGTTTTCAATGACATTCCACAGATGAATTTCAGGATTCATTTTAGTCAACGACCATCAGTTAAATATATTTCTGGCTAAATTCGGGTTGTTGATTTTATAAATAAACTGTTCTTTCATCATGTAAATATGTCAGGCGGAAAGAATAAAAACATTCGTGAAATTTAACGCTGTTTAGGATACAATTTGCCATGAAGGTTTTTGATATATAGTATAGAAGGCACGGAAGATTGGCGCATAATTTATAAATGATTCTAGTTCCTTAAAAATACCATGGAAAATGCGTGCTAAGATTCATTCGTTTTGATCACCAATAATTACTAAGCATTTATAAGCATATCATTAATTATAATATATACTATGACAGTCATTATTAATTTCATAGTATTAATTAAATACTACACATAAATGAAACGGTTAATTGTACAAAAAATATATCCTAATTGTTTTTGCGGTCAGTTTAGTATGGCATCATCGGACATGTTTCAACTTTTTCTAGGTCTTTCTACATTGTTCACAACTTTTCTTTAAAGCTCCTATTAACATAGAACAAGAATGGCATTGATTGATCAATTTTCAAAAAATTATTCATCCTTCATTTCCTGATGATTTAGAAAAAATTAAGTAACATTTCAAAACAAGGCCAACATTTTTACAATAAGAAAAACAGTGTGGTCATGGAATAATTTTTTCAATGAACCGGTTGTGTCGCAGGCATCTTCTTGAAGCTGAGCTCGTTCACATTTATTTCAATCAACTGTTGAACAGAAAAGTCAATAATCATTCATTTATAATGATTGACCGTAATGTTTTTGTCGATTTTCTTTCTGTGAATATATCATAACATAATCAAATCACAATCAAATTCTTAATATTAACAATAGATTGCTTGATCTAGTGTTCTCCAACAAATCATGCTTGGTGACTAGAGCATACGATGACCTATTGCCCGAAGACTCACATCATCCTTCACTTTGTATTACATTACACAAAAACTCTCGTAGCAAAACCTGGTCACAATCAAATGATGTTACCTTCAATTTTCGCAAAGCCGATGTTGTTACACTGTATGAACAATTGACACTTATGGACTGGTCATTTCTTGAGGATATTGCGGATGTCAATATTGCTTGCACTCTATTCTACAATAACCTAATAAATATTTTCAACATGTGTATTCCGAAAACTAAGCGTACGCCTGGCAAATTTCCACCCTAGTACACTCGCGCAATCATTAAGGATATTCACTACATAAATTATACAAAAAACGTCAAGAAGTAAATGTTCATGATACATTTACAGAATTAAGATCCAAAATTAAAAGAGACGTTAGTCATGCGTATAAAAAGTATATAGAGCAGACTGAAAATTGCATAAAAAAAAATCCAAATCAGTTTTGGTCCTTCATCAAAAGTAAAAGGCACAGTGGCCTTTCACCTTCTGTCCATCATTTTTGTCTATGCTAAATTTCAATATACCTAGAGTACGAACAAGGGCAAACCTTGCCTTTTACCTACCTACCCCACGAACGAATCTACTGCTGCACTCACTTTAAATCTCTAACGCCGAAATGTAGTCGTTTTAGCAAAACCGTGCTTTTCTCTGATTCGACTTGACCATGTTCTGTTGCGCATTGGTACAACCCGAATCTCTTCAGGTACGTTGTGAGAATGGACTGGTAGGTTGGTTTCAGCCTAGTGACATTAACGCCAGATGATTAATGTTACTACGTTCCACGATTTTTTCTTTTCCGAATATTAGATTAGGAGTACCACA